CAACGTTTACGGAATTGACCTGTATTCCTCATGTGATAAAGTTCAATATAGTGTGGCAGTAAGAAGCTGTGAACTAGTTAACTAGAATTCTGATTACTTTGGCCCTTTAAATAGTAATAAATAACGTAAGTAATTAAAAATGTTTTTTATTGCTAAACCTTTCATTGATGAAACTATTGGAAAGAGTTTTAAAAATTTGTATAACTATGTCACAGTACTAGTTTTGACTGGTTATAAGTTTTGCCTGCAACATATATACAAAAAGAAACTGTATAATTTCCTTTTTACAATTTTTCAAGATATTAATTTTATTGGCTGCAAATGACTGTTTTTATTCAGACAAACACACAATGCAATGAAGTAATAGACTTCATTTACGCTTAAAGTTTCATTCATTTATTATTATTTATAAAATATATAATAATGCATTTAATCGAAAGTTTTTGACATGTGAGAAAATACCATAATTATTTCCAATAACATGAAGTCTACAATTAGAAAGTTTAATATTTTTGTCCAAAAACATGTGTCGACGACTGTACCCCATTTTACGTTAGTATGTAGAAGTTTACATTAAAATTTAATGGTTTTCTAAGTCAAAAGTCAAGCAAAAATTGGACTGATATTGGGCACTATTTCAAGCACAATTTTTTGAGACGTAAATTGTACCTATAGCTCGTTCGATATTCGCGCACTGAGGTGAGTATGCTGGGCGTAGAACCTACGCCCAGCATACTCACTGAACGAAGCCTATAACTCCGAAGTTATTCGAGCACTGTTTTTTCTTTTTGGGCACCGTTTGGCACTATTTGAGAACTATTTTTTGAAGTATGAATTACGTTTGAAGCGTATACAGATTCTCCGGACGGAGGTGAGTATGCTGGGCGAAACCTTCGTCCAGCATACTCATCGAACTATGGCTATAACTTCGCAAGTACAAGAGCACTATTTTTTTCCTTTGGGCACTATTTAGCACTATTTCAGAACAGTTTTTTGACATTCATGAAATATCAGGATTCCATGGTGAGTATGCTGGACGAAGGGACACGACTTATATGAACGGGGATAATCATCCAATGACTTCTCTCGCCTTAGGTGAAGCGAGGAAGTGTCCGACTCTTGCTGACTTAACACCACCCCGTTCCTAGTCCTGATTTGAGCTGAAGCCACGGAAACCTGCAGCTGTAGCCTAATGCCATTTAGCGGTTTTTTTAAGGGACAAGCCCGCCACAACCTCCTATAAGCCAGGATCTACAGTAGATACAACCATGAAAACACCAGAACACTGAAGTCCGGCGCGTCCCAGGGACATGAGTAACTGTCTTGGTTCCCGCAACGAAGTGAATCAGAAGATATTATAAGAGGAGAAGAAGAAAAAACTGGTTTCCACTCCATTTAGCGCTTGTCTACATGTAGACTAGAAAACCAAATTATATGGAATTGATGTAAATTTTGACATTTGTCAGTGTCATCCCCATACATTTTGATTTCTACTCTCTCTGTAGACAAGCCCTGTTAGTTTGTCCATAGCTCCGGGAATACCAGACGATACGATGTCAAGTTCAATGTCCAGATAAAAAAGTCTAGATATTTTAGTCACTACAAATTCTTAAGAGTTTGGAAACATGCCCAATATTTTGTAAACTCCAATCAAATTAAACCTTAGATTTAAAAAAAACTTTGTCCCTCACTAGGATTTTCTCCTGTGTCGTGTGTACGTTTACAAACATACAAGTTCACATACACATCACACACAGACTCGAAACAACAATTTGTGCATCACACAAAGAGTTGTTACTAACGGGAATCGAATCCGATACACATTGCGCGACAGCCGGTTGTCCAGTCACCACGCCAACCGAGTATTTTATGCACCAAATGTGTATTTTATTCTCCGAACCTTATTTTTCGCAGAATTTCTACTTGAAACCTAAGGTTGACTGGTAGAGAATACCATATGCCATTAAGTTCGCCTTATGTTCCACTATTTAAGTAATCAAAGACTAAATAAATCAATAATACTTTCGCATTTATAATAGTTATTAGTAAAATAGGATTTACCCATTTCTATTTCTATAATTAACAACAAAACAGTGACGCATCGTGTCAAGCAGTTTCGTAGCTGAGATAAAACATACGGACAGACGTGTAGTATCATTCTTTATGTATATATATGTACTACTTATATTCTAGTACATACTCATTGCGTTAAGTGCATCGCTCTCAATGAATCATAGTTTAATTTTAACATGCCGTTAAGCATTTTGTAAAGAGCGTTATGAATTCTGGAAAAAGAAATGAGTAACTTAACTGGTCAAGTACCGTCATTATAGACACAATTATAGAACAATAGGTTGCGGTCACCGGTGACCGCTTGGTGTTTGACAGTTTAAGATTACGCGTTTTATCCCCGAAGGGGTAAGCAGAGGTGCACATTACGGCACTTAATGCCACTGTACAATATAACACCCATTTTTTACTATATATGTTACGAGTACCGTGTAATAGGGGGTGATCCCAATGCCATATACCGGGCACATTTGCAGACCCCGTGCTACTACTGAGATTATTTTTTAAACCCAGTCGTAAGTACTTTTCCCGACCCGGGAAACGAATAAATGGCTAACTTAACTAAGTGTTATTTATATAATAATCTCGCTGATTAATATCATAAATTCGACAGTTTATGTATATGTCGAAGCAGAAGTGCGAACTGGGTGGTTTTTAGGAAAAAAGAGTCTGATGCTCCCTCTCGCTTCACCCAAGATGGGAAAAGACATTTGATGACATTCCCAACTCAAGAAAATATATTGGGTGTGTGACACCCAAGGCAAGAGTAGAGGTGGTGATTTAATGTTAGTATTATACTTTGGCGTCATTAACTCGTCGAGTACCGGTTTTGTAGACACAATTATAGAACAATAGCTTGCCGCTTGGTGTTTGACAGTTTAAACTGTCAAACACCAAGCGGTCACCGGTGACCGCAACCTATTGTTCTATCTATAATGACGGTACTCAACGAGTTAAGTCCTATTTGGAACATGGTTGATGTTATAAATATTATTACGTTTGGTTACCTTACATAAGAACTTTATTTACAAAATACGAGTATTCATTTATTATGCTTTTTAATTTGCATATTTTAATAAAAACTACATCTGTGGTATAATTTGAGGTCAATTCTATGTAAATTGGACACAATGAGCAGCTGATAAAGGTATACTATTTTGTCTTTGTTAGAACATAACATAACATCACGCCTTTTATCCTCGAAGGGGTAGACAGAGCTACACATTATGCCACTGTACAATGTAAAACCCACTTTTCACTATTTATGTTGAGTCCCATGTAATAGGGGATGAGCCTACTGCCATATACCGGGCACAATTCCAGACTCCGTGCTACTATTGAGAGTTTTTTAAAAACCCAGTAATACTTTGCCCGACCCGGGAATCGAACCCGAGACCCCTTGTCCAGCAGTCGCACTTGCGATCACTCGGCTAACGGCTAACGACGAATTTAAATAAATCCTTACTAATATTATAAATCGGAAAGTGAGTTTGTTTGTTTGTTCCGCTTTCACACCGTAACTACTAAACCGATTGTTTTAAATTTTTGCAGAAATAAAGTTGGAAGCCCGGATTAAATAATAGAGTACTTTTTATGCCGGAAAAAATTGATATTCCCGAGAGAAAACAAAAGTATTAGTATAGATAGCGCTGTGTGTATTCGTATATGTCACATAGGCTACTTTTCATCTTTTTGTGACGCGAGCGAAGCCGCGGGTAAAAGCTAGTAAGTAATAAATCAATTATGCAACAAAAAATAGTAGTAATTAAATCATCTAATGATTATACCTCCATGTCAAGGTTTTAACTTTGGTAATCTATGCTAATTCTATTTAGTAAGACTGTGTTTTTAGAAGGTTGACAATGTTGTTGCAAAGTTAAAGGCGAGAAGGACTTAGACCCTTACTGACTAAAAACCCCGTTCCTACTTCTGCTTTTTGAGCCGGGGCTCCGGCTACCCGTTGGGCCTTCGATGGCTTCACTTATGAACCTTTTGAGTTTGTTTTGGCATTTCTTCTCAGAGTAGTCATTTAGGTAATGTCAGCCTCATCGTTCGCTTGATAAAATTGGCATATAAAATTGTTGCCTTAAAGCCTATTTGCAGAAATAGTTTTCACTTGTTTTACCTAATAATTAGGGTATGAATATGGGGTCCTAGTTAGTAATTTTTGCCCACAGAAAGAGGTCAAAAATATTGGAAGTTTTGATATTTATATGACTGAAAAATTAATTATGTTTCGCATAGTTATGTGATTAATTCTGTTGTGTCATGAAGATGATGGTTAAGTACCTATACAGTATACATATACCCATATATCCCCAAGCAGTCACCGTTGACCACTCTCCACTAACTACATATATAATAGACCTTATTTTCAATATTTAGAGACTACTTTTTTATGAACAAATTTAGGCGATGATTTTCAAACATTTTTAAACGGGTTATTTATAGGGTCCAATTTTCCAATACCAGATAAATCTTAAATGAAGAATAACTTTGAATATTTGACAATTCTTCCATACTGAAAATTGTCAAATGACAACTTCATTCTACAGTTAATAATTAACTGACTCACTTGTTTCACTGATTGATGATTATTTATTGATCACAGAATTGTCAAATATTCAAAACTATTCCTCTGATAAATAATTTCTGGTGTTGTAGAAATCGGGCCAAGTCAAATAGGTACAGGGAACAGAAATAAAATCCTTTCAGAAATTGTGAATGGGACTTTAAGTAGAACATAATATTAACTAGGTACTGCCTAGGTAGCTAAAAATGTATACTAAACAACACTACAACAGACTTAAAACAAAGAACAATACATAGGTAAATACTTGGTCCCGCTAAGTCATCAACAGCTTTAGCAAACTGCACTATGAGCAGCCTTAGCCCTATATAAATAAAAAAACTATTTTTCTACCACTCACCTCAGATTTCTTGGTCCGTAACTCCTCCATACTTTTGCAACTCTTCAACGTATTGATTGTACCATATGTATGCTTCGGATCATCCTCATCCATGCACGGCACATCATATATATGTTCATTTTCCACATAAAACTTAGAATTTTTCACATCACACACACAGTTCACATGGCATTTGAACCGACCATCTTTGTTATCCTCATCGGAACACCGCAGACACTTATTTGGCCACTTCGGATCTTTATTCTCACTAGTACACGCACAACACAGGTTTCGAGTATCATCGTCAGTCTTTAGTCGAGTATATGGGAGGCTAGACGTAGAGTTGTTGGTTATGGCACAGTTGAGAGAGTTCAGGCAACGGGAGATCGGGTCGGATGTCTGATTTGGTAGCAATGTTCTGTTCGTAATGTCTAATATCTCCGTACATAAGTAGTGAATTTCTTTTGGCTTTTTCGGAGTTTCTACTGTCCCTTCTCGCTTTTGTAAGACCAGTTCCAGCTTTTCGAGCATTCGTTTTGCTTCTTTTTTCTGTTCTTCAGTTGCTTCCGGAGTTGGTTGAGGACTTTGAGGTTTCAGGACTCGGGGCGGCTTTGCTGGCGGTGGTCCCGCTGGCAGAGGCTGTTTTAAAGCCTTTTTTAGAGTGTCTGTTAGTTTTAAATGGGGATTTTTACGCTCCAAGCGTATAGTTTCACTGGAATCACATAAGTCATCCATTGCCTGAAGATTTGTTAAATGAGTTTTCTCAGGAGACTTCTCAAATTGAGATAGAAGTCGTTTTATTCTCCCATTCTTGTCTTCTTCGACATTTTCAGTCTCTGAGCTCACTCCACTGTCTGTCATGGCTTCCTGCTTCTCCCGTTCCTGCCTCTTAGGCTTCACAACAATGGCATACTGGTCTAGGATATGCTGAGGGACTTCAGAGTCAGGTATAGAGTCAAACTGCTCACTATCTTTGACCTCACCAACAATTTCAGCATATTGCAGTTGTGGCACATAATTCTCCTTCCTCATCTGCTCTTCTAAGAAGTTCCCGAGCCTTTTAAGTCTATCTTTACTCAATTTACGTTCCATTTTGAATGAAAAATCACTGGTTTCAGACCTACCGTTACAACTCCCGTGTCGTTTCGGACTGTTGGCTATTTTCTGGCTTCTGTCGCAGCGGAAAGCATGACTCCTGTGTAATTTCTTGCCAGGATCACTCGACTGACGAGAGAGCGAATTTTTCGTGTCACTAATACTCCGCTTCACTTCGTTTTTATTGTACAAATAGCTGGAGTTGGGTTTCGGTGTCCAATCGTCGCTCTCTGATTCATTGTCGATGCCAACTTTGTCCGATAGCTCATATTCGATATGTTCACTGTTTTCCTTCCCGTAACTATTTGTAAAACCATTTTTATGGAGAAATAATTGATTATCAACCCGTTTGTTAGGTATATTCTCGCTGCTGTTCAAATTCTCGAATTTACTCTTGATTTCTTGCACTCTGTTCTTTGCAGATATCATTTCGACACGGCATAATACATTTTTATTGGCACCAATTATTTTATTCAAACTATTTTAGTTAGTTTAATAAACGACACAGCTAACGCAGATATTTATCAACCATTTTGTTATTTTGAAAAACGAATAAACATCACATCAAACAACAGTCTTGTTGTTTTTTTTTTCAAAACACTTCGCTGCACAGGCAGATGTAATAACGGACTGATTGTAGTTTATGTTATCTAAAAATTCCACGTTATAGTAGGAAGTTGCACGACACAATAGTTTTAATTGCGAAAGTAGAACGTCAATTGTTATTTTACGCGATGTTAACTAGTTCCAAACACAATGCACTTGACAGAAAGTTTACATAAACAGTCGTCCCGGTCCGTTGTCGTTCGTCCGACGAGGGCACGGCATGGCACTAGCGGTATTGCCAGACTTGAGAATGAATTTACCCGTTGCTTGGTTCTCATTACATTTTGAGAATGTGATCGACCGACACACCTCACCATTAGTAAAACTGAATTTGTAAAATGATAATTAAACTTAAATGGATATTAAACCGCCAATAACACCATATTGAAATGATTTTCCTGTTTCAAACCTTCTAAAAGGATATTTAAATTAAAATTTTTACTAACCTATTTAGTTTCAACTGTTGATCATATCATTAATAGGTACCTAATTATTAAGCTGCAGAAATGGACAATTTTACCGCGTTCGTATTTTATTTTCCTCATTCATAAATTGGTATAGTAACAGTTGTCTACTTTACTATATCTAGATATTTGATCATGTTTTAGAGCCATATTAAGTTAATATGTAGAAATATTTTTGCTTTGTAACTCTAAACAAATTCTTAAAAATAGTTATATAAGATTTAAAATAATTAAATTAGTGTATTAATTAAATAATATTAATGATTTTTATTATTTTGTAAGTAGAGTAAGTACTTTTGCGGTGCCCAAAAGGGAAATAATTGGAACATATTTTGTTAAAAATTATAAACCCAGGGTGGTACACACTATAGATGCATTGAAGTGATTTGAATTTGAAATTACTAAATTGTACAATACATGGAAATGATTCAGTCTGTGAGTAATGCTTCATTGTGGTTTATACCTCTAAATGATAAAGAGCCTTATGTTTTATTACATATAAATTAAAAACAGTAATTAATTAAATGTCTAAAGTACTTATTCTTTGTTAGATAGACGGCAAACGGTTTTCCTCTTCGTATTATTATTATTCACCTGTAATTGATATTCATTTTATGAATGAATTTTATGTGAATAAGACAATGTTTTGTATATAATAACAACTAAAATTTAAGCAAGGAAACAGTTGAGGAAATACCATTTATTTAGGTATTTTAGATGTGTTGAAATGCCAGTTGCGATTGTGAAAGTTAACTAAAATTATTAAATAGACACACGTACATTATATGTAAACAAAATAGATTAAAATATGTCCACGAGCAAAGTTGCGGGCAAAACTATAGTACTGAGATAAAAATCTCCCCAGATTTGGGTATAGTTTTTTCATCTTGATAAGAAGCAGCTGAGATTCTTTTAATGTTCGGATACGAAGTTTTCAAATGTTTTTTTTTAAGTACGACTCTTGAGCAAATACAAAGAAAAGTTTGTCAAAATTAAATATCACTATTGTAGAAAAATACTGGTTTTACTTAGATATAGAAGTCATTCTAATAAGAATTGCAATAAGTAAAGACATGCGTTTGATAAGTGACATCTATTGAGTTATTTAGAGCACTATTATGACATTTTCCACTGATTGAAACTGTGACACTCAGTTTTTATAAAAATAGTTAACTTTCCCTTAAGTTACTAAGTATAAAAATATGTTATTGAAAATGATATAGCGAAAGCAGCGAAATAAAAGTGTCCCTTCGTCCAGCATACTCACCATGGAATCCTGATATTTCATGAATGTCAAAAAACTGTTCTGAAATAGTGCTAAATAGTGCCCAAAGGAAAAAAATAGTGCTCTTGTACTTGCGAAGTTATAGCCATAGTTCGATGAGTATGCTGGACGAAGGTTTCGCCCAGCATACTCACCTCCGTCCGGAGAATCTGTATACGCTTCAAACATAATTCATACTTCAAAAAATAGTTCCCAAATAGTGCCAAACGGTGCCCAAAAAGAAAAAACAGTGCTCGAATAACTTCGGAGTTATAGGCTTCGTTCAGTGAGTATGCTGGGCGTAGGTTCTACGCCCAGCATACTCACCTCAGTGCGCGAATATCGAACGAGCTATAGGTACAATTTACGTCTCAAAAAATTGTGCTTGAAATAGTGCCCAATATCAGTCCAATTTTTGCTTGACTTTTGACCTAGAAAACCATTAAATTTGATTGTAAACTTCTACATACATTACATTGAGTACAGTCGAATACAATATTATTAACTTTCTTTCTAACAATTTTTGTCTTGTGTAAATTATTAATTGTCTATGTAAGGGAGTATTTACTTTAGAATCGCAATATTATTAATTACACATTATTTTAATAATACTTTATAATAATATGATTAAGCCTTCGCGCGTCGCATGGGACCCCGGTAGCTAGGAACAATGATTTTATATATTTTGTCTAGATCACGGCGCTTGAAGGATTAAGATATCAAATGAAGTAAATCATGCATGAAAAATAAAGTTGCTGTTATTAATGCTTACATTACAACTGACAAAATTATTCAAAATAATCATTTTCCGGATCAAGGACGGTACCACAACGTTTACGGAATTGACCTGTATTCCTCATGTGATAAAGTTCAATATAGTGTGGCAGTAATGGATGCACGTACGGTCAATAGGTATGGGGCTTACGACGCGCGGCAGATTACTTTGGCCCTTTAAATAGTAATAAATAACGTAAGTAATTAAAAATGTTTTTTATTGCTAAACCTTTCATTGATGAAACTATTGGAAAGAGTTTTAAAAATTTGTATAACTATGTCACAGTACTAGTTTTGACTGGTTATAAGTTTTGCCTGCAACATATATACAAAAAGAAACTGTATAATTTCCTTTTTACAATTTTTCAAGATATTAATTTTATTGGCTGCAAATGACTGTTTTTATTCAGACAAACACACAATGCAATGAAGTAATAGACTTCATTTACGCTTAAAGTTTCATTCATTTATTATTATTTATAAAATATATAATAATGCATTTAATCGAAAGTTTTTGACATGTGAGAAAATACCATAATTATTTCCAATAACATGAAGTCTACAATTAGAAAGTTTAATATTTTTGTCCAAAAACATGTGTCGACGACTGTACCCCATTTTACGTTAGTATGTAGAAGTTTACATTAAAATTTAATGGTTTTCTAAGTCAAAAGTCAAGCAAAAATTGGACTGATATTGGGCACTATTTCAAGCACAATTTTTTGAGACGTAAATTGTACCTATAGCTCGTTCGATATTCGCGCACTGAGGTGAGTATGCTGGGCGTAGAACCTACGCCCAGCATACTCACTGAACGAAGCCTATAACTCCGAAGTTATTCGAGCACTGTTTTTTCTTTTTGGGCACCGTTTGGCACTATTTGGGAACTATTTTTTGAAGTATGAATTATGTTTGAAGCGTATACAGATTCTCCGGACGGAGGTGAGTATGCTGGGCGAAACCTTCGTCCAGCATACTCATCGAACTATGGCTATAACTTCGCAAGTACAAGAGCACTATTTTTTTCCTTTGGGCACTATTTAGCACTATTTCAGAACAGTTTTTTGACATTCATGAAATATCAGGATTCCATGGTGAGTATGCTGGACGAAGGGACACAAATAAAATTGTAATACAATTTTTTCATGATTTTTTGGGTACAGCGGTTTCTAGCGGTAAGTAGACAAACTATTATAGTTACGCTCTTTGAACATAGTTCACAATTGTTAAGATAGATGGCATTTTATGTTCGTAGTTTTAGAGCTAACTCATAGATGTCATTATTATACAAAGTTCCTATATTACTGTAAGATATTTAGTTAATGTATTTTAGTCATAGATAAAGTTATTAAAATAATTTGTAACAACGTTACAATTTTCAATCGTCACAGGGGTGCTTTTGACCGTTCGAACATCGACTATAATAGTCTTATTTCTCAATAGTCCAACTTATAAGAGTGCGTGTAATCTTGTTGGTTTACTCTGGGCAAAATTCCAAGTTCTGTATTTATTAAATTTCCGAAAAAACCGGAATCGTTCCAATGAATATTATTAATTAAACATCTGCTTAATTTTACTGCATTTATAGCATAATGAATATCAAAACATTTTGTAAAGGCCCCCTTACCTACTTAAATATGCAAAACGAAAACAAAATCCTCGCTAATAATGTAAAAAAGTCCTTGCAACTATTTTCTTAAACATAAGACTTCCGTGTTTATTTCCTTTTACACTAAGATAAATTATAAATCGCATAATAAATGGAACTAATATGATTTATCGCCCGATTAATATGCATGACCCTATATTTTAATCAATAAATTACGTAATCATAACTACTTTTGCCCGTGACTTCGGACGTGTTAATTTTATTAATTTATTTAGTTTTTTAATATAGACTAAAGAAGTATCTAATCCTTAATAATATTATAAATTGGAAAGTGAGTTTGTTTGTTTGTTCTGCTTTCACGCCGTAACTATTAAACCGATTGCTTTGATTTTGCAGACGTAAAGTTAGAAGTCCAGATTAAATAATAGGGTACTTTTATCCCGGAAAAAATTGATATTCTCGAGGGGAAAACAAAAGTATTGGTATAGATGGCGCTGTGTGTATTGGTATATGTCACATAGGTTACTTTTTATCCTTTTGTGACGCGGTGGTATGGTATGGTATGGTACATAAGACGGACTTTAATAACATATGACATTCTCTTTTCCAGCAGTATCGTAGCGTGCCTTAGCGCTCCTGTACACTAATTTAATTATGATGTGTTCTTGTAACTTTTTTTACATAAAATACTAATAATTTGTGTGAAACCAGGAAAAATTTCCAGGCAACTCTCTGCCCAAATTAGTAGACTATGATTACGTTAGTTTTTCAAATCACTCAAGCGGGAGAAGTCATTTGATGATTGTCCCGCCTTAAAAAAAATATACTAAACAGAAAAAAAGAGCCCTCAGACCACCACGGATGAGACCCAATAGGGCTGATGATTGGTGTTTACAAAATATTGGGCATGTTTCCAAAATCTTAAGTATTTGTAGTGACTAAAATAGGTATCTAGACTTTTTTATCTGGACATTGAACTTGACATCGTATCGTCTGGTATTCCCGGAGCCGCGCAGGACATAACGGGTTGCCGGGGCTCTGGCTCGAAGGGCAGGAGTAGGAACGGGGTGGTTTTTAGTCAGTAAGAGTCTGAAACTCCC